AACATACTCAATCATCAGAATTTTCTTTTCAACTTGCTCCCTCAAAAAATGATGACGAATTTCAATGTGTTTAGTTCGTGAGTGTTGCACAGGATTCTTAGAGATATTGATAGCACTCGTATTATCACAATGAGCAGTAAAGGATGACAAGTTGATACCGTAATCGGAGAGCATTTGTCGCATCCACATGAGTTGAGTGCAGCAACTTCCCAGAGCTATGTACTCTGCTTCAGCTGTGGATAATGATGTAGAGTTTTGCTTCTTGCTGTGCCATGCTATCATGTTGTTTCCAAGGAAGAAGCAACCTCCAGATGTACTTCGTCGATCGTCAGCATGACCTCCCCAGTCAGCATCACAAAAACCCACCAACTCACAGCTTGAATCCCGTGTATAGTGCAAACCAAACTCCAATGTTCCCTTCACGTATTTTATGATTCGCTTGACCGCTTGCAGATGTGACTTCTTTGGTTTAGCTTGATACCTTGCACAGATTCCGACGCTCAGGCATAAGTCAGGTCTACTTGCAGTAAGATAAAGTAGACTTCCAATCATTCCACGGTAGAGCTTTGTGTCTACATCTTCTCCATCTTCATCACGAGTCAACTTTGTTGTTGTGGACATAGGTGTTTTTGCAGACTTGCTTCCATCCAGTTCAAATCTCTTGACTAAGTTTCGGGCATACTTGCTTTGAGAGATGAACATTCCATCAGTTGTCTGTTTCACCTGTAACCCGAGAAAGAAGTTTAATTCTCCAAACATGCTCATCTCGAACTCATCGGTCATCAGCTTCACAAAATTGTCCACTTTCTCCTGAGAGACAGACCCAAACACGATGTCATCAACATACACTTGAACCACCATGAGATTTCCATCATCACTGTGAATGAACAATGTCTGGTCCACTCCCCCTCTTTTGTATCCGTGCTCAACCAAAAAAGATGTGAGGCGTTCATACCACGCTCGAGGAGCCTGTTTAAGACCATATAGGGCCTTCTTCAAACGAAAGACATGATCCGGAGAATGAGGATCTTCAAATCCAGTTGGTTGCTCGACATAGACTTCCTCCTGAAGTACTCCATTGAGGAACGCACTTTTGACATCCATCTGGAAAAGTCTGAAATGCAGGCTACAAGCAACTCCGAGGAGTAACCGAATGGATTCGAGGCGAGCAACGGGTGCAAAAGTCTCTTCAAAATCAACTCCCTCAATCTGAGTGTAACCCTGCGCAACTAAACGTGCTTTGTTGCGAACAATCTCCCCAAACTCATTAGTCTTGTTTTTGAAAATCCACTTCGTACCAATGACATTGGTATGGTGAGGGCGAGGAACTAAATACCAGACATCATTGCGGACAAACTGTTCTAGCTCTTCCTGCATAGCCCGTACCCAGAACTCATCATGAAGTGCTTCACAAACCTTCTTTGGTTCAACCTGGGAGTTGAAGCATACAAACCGAACCATATCTTGATAGTTGATCCTGGGCTTGTGTCGAGTTTGACGAGGAGCCTGAAGATCACCAATTAAATCATTAGGGGAATGATTCTTGTGTACAGGAATTGACGTCTCAGGTCCTGACAGACTGTCATCAAACTCTTCAGTGTCAGTGGAAGATCCATCGGACTCAGCCTTGAGAGGAAGGTCAGAAACAGCACGAGAGCCTTCTGGAATGTCGCGAGAAGGACTTGGCTCCAATGAGATGCTATCAACCTTCCGTTGTGTTTCTTCATCAAAGATAACATTTGCGGATTCCATCACTGTCTTAGTACGAAGATTGTACACTCTGTACGCAGCTGAGTTTTGAGCATATCCAAGAAATATTCCTTCATCACTGCGAGGATCCATCTTACCAAGATACTCTCGGTCATTGAGTATGTAGCACGTACAGCCAAACACATGAACATACTTAAGGGGAGGAGACCGTCCCTTCCAGATTTCGTAAGGTGTTTTGGACAGACCCGTGCGCAAATAGATCCGATTGATCAGATAACACGCAGTGCTCATGGCTTCAGCCCAAAATCTTATAGCCACGTTTTTAGCATGCAACATAGATCGTGCCATTTCCTGAAGAGTTCGGTTTTTCCGTTCCATTTCCAAGAAGATGTAGATTCTTCTTGGTTCCTTCCAATTGACATTTCATCAAGGACGCCTCTTCTTCTTTTTGTGTAAGAAGAAGGATTCTGCTATGAATCAGAAAGCACTATCTATCATTTTCAGCAGCGTGTGTCATGAAGAATTTGAACAGATTCAAGGATGTGAAACTGCTAAGGATGCATGGGACACCTTGGAGCTTATTCATGAAGGAACATCCAAGGTAAAACGAAACAGATTGGATATGATAGATCTTCAGTTTGAACGCTTGAGGATGGAAGATGACGAAAGTGTTAAGGAATTCTGTGGGAAGTTGAGTGCCTTATCAAATGAGGCAAGTGTACTTGGGAAAAGGATCAGTAATGATAAGCTGGTAAAGAAACTTCTGAATAGTCTACCAGCCAAGTATCACTCACAGATTCTAGTATTTGAAGGCGTTAACAATCTGGAGACTGTCACATTCAAGGAAGCTGTTGGAACGTTTGCAGCACATGAGTTGAGACTGCAACTAATGAATGGTGGATCCTCTGTTCAAACTAAGAAGGGACAAGGTATTGCTCTTCATGTTCCTGAGACTACTGCTACTGATTCAGAAAATAGAAGACAAGGAAAGAATAAAAAACAGGCTGAAGAAGAGCTGCATGATGAGATGGCATTGGTCATCAAGAAGTTCAATAGATTTTTCAAAGGAAAGAAGAAATTTGGACAACAAAGCGACAGAGATTCAGGAAAATGCTTAGAATGTAAAGGCACAGGACACTGGAAGGCTGATTGTCCAAGTATTGCAAAGAGAGAAAGTGTGCTGTTCAAACTGAAGATCTATCATATCCAATCTGTTTCGTTTTACCTTGGATGTTCCTTCATGAATAAGCTCCAAGGTGTCCCATGCATCCTTAGCAGTTTCACATCCTTGAATCTGTTCAAATTCTTCATGACACACGCTGCTGAAAATGATAGATAGTGCTTTCTGATTCATAGCAGAATCCTTCTTCTCTTGAGGTGTCCATAAGCTCTTCGGCTTCGGTTTAGCTACTCCATCAATGATATCCGTGGGTCGAGTCCATCCATCAGTAACAGCACTCCAGGTATCTTCATCCAATCCTCGGATATACGAACTGATCTTAACTTTCCAGTGCCCATAGTTGGTAGAATCCAGTAGAGCAGTTTTTCCAAAGTTCTGTAGTTCCTTGAGACCTTCCATCGTGTGAATCTGAACCGTGCAGATGGTTGTATTGCCTGGAAATTGTGATAGCGAACTTAATGATTTTTAGGAATTTTAATCTATTAAGAACCGAGAGGTCGGTAGAAGAAAATTCCTAGAATATAAGGTGATATTCGAGAGAATAATCATTTGCAAATGCGCACTTGAATTTCCTAAATTATGATCATAGTTACCGAAATATATTTTTAGAAGCGATCCTTACATAACCCGTAAAATCCCGACACCTACAATGTCTTAATTAAATTGTGTTAAAAATCACTGTTTATATTTGCTTTGATTTGTATTTAAGTTTAATCACCGTCACCACCAACCAATTTATTACCCCGACCAAAAACCGAGTAGAACCCGTAATTGATATCGTTGAATCCATCTGTGTCCCTGTGATCGACCCTAGAATACTACGATTGACCCGTACACTTGCGGTAGTTGTATCTAGGAAATTAAACGAGATTAGATCACATCCTAGATCGACATCAATAATATCAATGGTTTGGAAATGCTTCATGGATTAGAATTTGAAGGAGAACAGAATCTACCAAAGCAATACAGATTCAAGCTTTTCTGATATTGTAATCTCCGTAGATTAAGCTGATGGAATCCATATATATTAAACCAACGATGTATGAAATCAAGATCCTGGATGAAAAATGAAAACCAATGGAATCTCAGCGTGGATCTACAGACAGCTTTAAAGTTGATCACAGAACAACGGCCATTCAAGAAAAGGATCGAGCTTTTTGAGCCAATGGAGGCTAGACACTTGTCAACTAACCCAAACCAGAATCTTGGAAGATGTCATGTCGGAAGAAGCATATCTGCACTATTCCCAACTAAAATCCAGTTTGGATATTACCATTTAGTTTCAGATCAACATGAGCTGAATCCTTAGTAGTTGCTGAATGATTTCAACTCTTTTTAGTCTACCCACCTCATGATTTGGCCCAAATAGAGCATTCAGACTGGTAAAATTCTCATGAAATCCACAAGCTCAATCTCGTGTGAGCAGAAAGCGTAACCATAAGAACACGAGAACGATCAAAGCAGAAACCCTAAATTCAGGATAAAGAGAAAAAGGAAGACCTTCCCATTGACGACCAGCCAACAATCTTTCGCATGGTTGTGCAGCGACACTTCTGAAAGAGTGAAGATTTTTGCTTCGTCGGCCATTGTTCTGTCTCCAAGATTAAACCCCAACAAAGGCAGAAGCTTTAAAGTTCAAAACTTTGGGAGTGAGAGGGGGGAGGGGGGTGGGACAGTGCAAACTGGTTCGGTTACCTAAATGTAGTTAGAAAAAACAAATTAAGGGTCTAAATATATTATCTAGAAAATTACTAATGTTAAAACTCAAGACTATATTATATGTGTATATTAGTCCAAAATTAGAAATAGCTACCAATTGCTCTAAATCATATTAACGTTTTATCACCCGTCAATTTTATTTTTTTAGATCGAATGTAAAAACAAGAGATTTGAGAACAAGAAAATGAGAAATTGATCAAATAATGGTATAGAAAAAGGAATAGCAACCAATATTATTTATGTATGTATAATAGTCTAAATTTAGAAATAGCAACCAATTGCACTAAATTAATAGTAATGTTTTATTACTCGTTAAGTATTTTTCTTTCTAATTAGATAGAATGTGAAAACAAAAAAAAAATGAGAACAAGAAAATGAGAAAACCTTGGTATAAAAGAGAAACAGATATTTATATATTTTACTTTGGTTGAGAAACACATTTCTCATTTAAAATTTGTATTTTACAACAAACCCTCAACTTTTCAAGTACAAAATTACCCCAATCTGAATACTATATTACAAAACTCCGTACATTTTAAATTAGTTTCCCTCGTTCAGTTCATCGGACGGCCGGTATTCGTCGCTTGGGCTGCAAGGCAACGGACATTGACCGGAGCCGGTCAACGATCTCTGTAAACGGCGGCCTCTCCGATGGATCGAACGACCAGCATTGCTCCATCAGTTTTCTCCACTCTTCATCGCATTTCTCCGGCACCGGAGGTCTTAGTGTATTGTTCAGAATCCCACCTTGTGTAAGTAATCAACATCAAAAAGACAAGACCAATGGCAAGTGGGTTTCATTGTTTTGTCAGAAAGATTGGATCTTGATGAATTGGGTTGTTTCTGAAACAAATATGGGGAATAGGGTTTACCGATGATGGTGCCGCAGTGCATGTTTGCGTAAGGTTCTTCGCCTGTCAAGATCTCCCACATTGCAATACCGAATGAGAATACATCTACCTGCGATGGGAGAGGGTTTCGTTTTCAGAAACAGTTGTTCAGAGAGTGTCTGAACTCGGGCTGAGATCATGTTTCGAGTCGTTTGCTTTGATCTTGGATTGGATAATACCTTCTCAGAGACGCGGTTGCTGCTTCCGTTCAGCAGCTCAGGTGCCATCCAAGGAAGGGTTCCTCTTACTCCACCAGAAACGAGAGTGTTGCGTTTGATTCTTGATAACCCGAAATCACCAACCTGCAGGAGAATTTTATGAAGCAAATTTGGGTACCACAATGCAGAAGAATCTGATGGAGGATGAGGAAAAAAGATGGATTCTTTACCTTGCAAATTGGTCGCTGTGTATCCCTCAAGTTAACAAGAAGATTATCACATTTCAGATCAAAATGAACAATGTTCTTCATATGCAGGTACTCCATGCCAAATGCAGCATCCAGAGCTATCATGAGCTTTTTCCTCTTATCCAGCGATCTACTGGAATAGTTGTGTGAACATGTCAGAAACTGGCCTATTTCAGGTCAGAACCAAGAGACAAGAAATATATATATATACACCTGTCTTTCCTCTGCAAGGCATGTCTCAGAGATCCGTTCACCATATACTCTGTTACAGTTGCCATAGTTCCACCGGGTCCATCCGGTACAACTCCATAAAATGCCACCACGTTTGGATGGTGAAGATTCGCTAAGATCCTAGCTTCTCTCCAGAAATCTTTCGTCTGCATTTGTGAAACTTTTGCAAACACTAAGGCTTTCGGAGAAGCAAACAAAAAAAAGATACAAATTTTTAACTCATATGAAAACGATTTGAGTAAGCTTACCTGCCGTTCTTGCTCAGATGATCTACCGGAGAAACAACTGTTCTTTATCCTCTTGATAGCAACATCAGTTCCTCTCCACTTCCCGTAGTAAACAGTTCCAAATGTCCCTGATCCGAGCTCATGTAAGTCCTCAAGGTCAGAATTCTTTATAATCTGCACACACAAGGCAAACAGCCAATGGAACTTGAGGTTAAAGAACCTGATTTTCCTCCATAGTGAAGATTTCATGTGTCTTCATGCTTGCAAGCCCTAAACAAAATGAAATGCTAAAAAATTTCTACCTGTAAGCCATAAATCCCAGCTTCAATTTCAACCATCGTGGCCTCACCGATTGATTCGTTAGCATCCTTTTCCTGCAAAAAAAAGAGAGGACTGAGTCAAAATCCATGGAGACAAACACCTAGAAATGCCGCAGCTCTAATCTAAGGAAAAGAACAATACCTCCATTTCAGATTCATGACCAGCACCGTTTTCTTCTTCTTCCCTTGAATAGAAATTATTATCACCTGACTCGCTCTGTACATGAGGGAGAATGGTAGCTTCTTCTAACAGGGTATCTGATTCTTTTTTGTTGAGTGGTGGACCAAGCAACTTGCTTGTACGAAAATCATCTGAATTCTGCGTGTGCAAGAACACGGCATCTCTAGATCCCACCTTTCCAAGCGGCATTTCACAATAGTGAAAAACTTTTTCCCTCGGAAGAGAAGCCCGAGTACTCAAATCATCGCTTATCTCCAAATCCTGCACCAGGGTTAAAAAAAGGCGTACTTTAAGACAAGAGATTTGCTAACTTAACACAAAAGTTTACTGGTCATCTATTTTATGACAGTAAACTGATGAATTCAAGTGTTTTACTTCGAGAGAAATGAGTAGCCCTTTAAAATATTAACTGACCAAAAATTTTGTCCCAAAATTCTTCTATCCTTACGGAAAAGAAACAGTTGCAGAAGAAAATTTTTCAAGAACACCTTGCATCAAGAGTTATACCAGAAAAGTTTACAGATAAAACCCATAAATCGGAAACATTTTTTAGCATATTCAAGAAATTCTTATATTTGTATTGGTAGAAGGTCAATTATGCTTACACATCTTGGAACCGTAGGTTGCTGTCTTTCGGACTCATCTGGCAAATTCTTGGTAGATGCAAGGTAATCAGCTTGACCACTTGGTTTAATCGTATCACATAGTAGATCTCCAGCCGAATTTTGGCTTCTGATGTAAATATCCGATGCAGTATCTAGCTGAACATCAATCAGTTTCTCCCTCAAAGCATCGACGGAAATTTCATTTGCATTCACTGATAAAGTGAACACCGAGCTTCCTGAGTCTTGTGAATTGCATGAAGTAACACGGGCAACTGGTCGGAAGTTTGAACTCTTGGGGTTACAATTACTACTACTTTCATGCTGCTTTAACACCTGATCAAAAGAACCAGGATCATCATGATCAATCCATTTCGGGGCTTTTGTGGAAATCCCAACCTTGTCCTTGCTTCTGTGGTCTGAATTCTTGAAAGACGGACCACCCTCTTGCCATTTCACTGCAGAATTTGACATGGCCAAGGAAGGTAATTGCTCTCTCACAATTTTCCAACGTTTTCGGGTAATCGGTTCTAACCTAAGGCTCTCATCATGCAATTGTGGATCAGAAAGAGCATTTTTCTTTAGCATCAGTTTCTCAGACCCCATATAAGCTTCACCAGCTTGGGGATGAGGGTCACCACTCGGGCTCCGATAATGAAAATTTATTTCTGAGTGCTTCTGCATCTGTTTAGTCCCCAACAAGAACTGATGTTGTGGCAGAAAGTTCGGAGCAACCATGTAAGATAGGTTATTATCAAAGAACCCGTTTGTATCAACAAAGTATGGGATGTCGGTATTAGCTCTCTGATGAACCGGAAATGGAGATGACGGAGGAGATTGCTGACCCGAAGAATTCCTCGGTACCTTCATTGCAGACATAAAGTGAACAGCACCAGGGTTCGCAAAAGCCGTCAAGAAACTTGACGTGGTTGGACTGCAGTCTCTGGTTTCCAATGTATGATCAGAAGTAGGCGAGTCTCGATGAAATGTAGGGCTATAGTCAGAAGCATTCCCAAATTGTGTAGTCTGACTTGACATGCTTTGGCCTCTGGAACTCTCTCGAGAGCTCACATCCACAACTCCATTAAGAGCAGAAACACATTGATAATTATCAAAACCTATTTGTTGCAAGTTTGTGTTTGTGTTTGTGCTCCTTCCATTGAAAGAGTTTGGACTATCGGGTTCAGCTGAAGACACGAGAAATATCCTTATCTTCTGGGAACCAGCTCTTTTGTCAGCCTCTTGATACTCTTCAATCATGTGAAGAAGATCCTCATCCGAGCAAACAGAAATTAATGAATCGAGATCTTCTCCAGGTAATTGGTACTTGATTGTGTGGGGATAATTGCACACAGCATAAGTCTTTTGCATCAATTCGTTGAGACTAACATTTTTCCTTATCGAGATAATCCGAGTCTCTCCTCCAATGTATCTAAACTTCACATCACCCGGCCGTGTTAAGATCCTTCCCCCAAAACTGCAGAGAAACTTCAGTTTTCCTGGCAAAGAAACATCTGATGATGCTTTCTGATACATCTGAGGTGAGTCTGCAACATCAAAGGGCACGGCATTGGGTCTATGAGCAGCACCATTATAGTAATTTCGGACAGTAAACTTGCCCGTCCGTTGCACATCACTGACACCATTTTCCATGTATCTTGCTACACTACTGTCTCGGTTAAGCTGAGAATCTGCTTCAGCTGTATATCCTCTCAGATGAAGAACGTCTGAAACATCAGAATCAACTCTCTGAAGCCCGAGAATTCTATTGAGATCCTCGTAAACGAGTTGACGATTATGGTCGTTCTCAACATTGTTGTTGGCAACATGTGCTCTTCGAGCACGATCCCTCAGGAAGTCGTCTGAAAACTCCTCCCCTGTCTGGATGCAGATATTACCTACGTTTCTGCTGTTAACATGAATGTCCCTGCTGAAACTATCCCTACCTACCTGCTGGTCCGAGCTGCCAGGGACCTCCATTGTCATGGTCTTGGGGCCCAAAAACGGAAAAAAAAAACTAAGTCCTATTCTTCCCCACCGGAGCAAAACCCTTCATTCTCAAAGGCCATAGAGGCTAATATACAATGGCTTGCTTCGATATTCCTCAGAAACACGTTCCACTGTTATGCATCTAAACCCGGAGGGCCCATACCATTTTCTTAATCCGCACGCTAACCTCAATTTCAGGATGAAAATGTAGAAAACGCCTTGATTTCATTCTCCACCCCAGATTACAAGTATCCTTGAGTCCGGTCTTTGAGGAAATACATCGAACAGGTTATGGAGATCAAACACGAACCCTTGTGCCCATCATCAAATCTCAAACAAACACCATTAACACCTCCTGAATATACACAGAACAAGATCAGAACTCATTTGAAAGAGCTGGAGATTTCAAATTTCAACACACGAAATTCCCCTGAATAACAACAGCAACAGGAAGATAATCATCCCACTTTCAAAGGGTTCGTTGAAAAACCAAGAATTTCATCGAAATTTCAGAAATTTTTTTTTACAGCAAATGACCGGATCAATTATACAAACGGAACATGAGGGTGTTTTGCGAACGCGAAGCATCAAAACCACCGATGAGATCAAATGTGCTTTCACGGAATTGACAAATTCAAAATCTAAACGAGATGATAGAAGATGTGATTATTACCCGGAAAAAAAGGTCAAAAGGGAGGAAATCGGGTTTGCCGATGAGATTAACAATGACGGAAACAAAGATTCAAAATCTGGAATTTGTCCGGTGGGAAACTGGGAAAGAATTCTCCGAAAAGGGAAAAAAAAGATCGGAGCTTTCGAAAGTTGGGGTTTTTGGTTCGTAGTTCGTACGGTAGAGAGAGAGAGCTCAAAATAACGCGGGGGACAAACTCCATAAAAACTAAAAAAATCGAAAATCTCTCCCTCTCAAATGTCTTTTTGTTTTATCTTGAAAATTATCTAAAAATAAACACTCTCTCTAAATAAAATTTAATCATAATTCATAGTTCTAAGAAAAATAATAAAATTGAATTTTACAAAAAAAAAAAGTGAATATCTTTAGTTAAATAATAGTAATACTATCTCGTGTGTGTGTGTATATATATATATATATATTTATGATTTTCAATGATGTAACATATTTTAAAATATATATATATATTAAAAATCGGAATAAACTACCAAGACAGGTGGTACATGAAATTCCAAAAAATGATAAATAGTAATTGTTCAACCTCACTCTATTATACGATTACACCGAAAGATAAAAATCGATTTTTGAAATAATCCAAAATTAGTACGTTACAATTTCTATCCTATTTACACGAACTATTCTATAATTTTCAAACACACATCTATAACATGATTATATATAAAAGGCAGAATAAATATTCTGTAATTTTCATCGTATATTATGCATATATATGTTTTGATACCACTTGTTCACATATCTATACATATAAATAAAAGTTAAACGTGGATAGTAGTTGCGGACATCATGTTTCGAAACACAAAGTACACAACAAACAACAACACAACGAACTGTGAGATCCGACGAGGAGGAGGAGGAGAAGAAGCTTCTTCGTTTAGTTACCGATACGACTCCGGACGTTTCGGCTTGCTCTGTATCACTTGCTCGATCTTGTCCAGAACCGAAGGTGTCATCAACCGGATAACATCAATGGCCTTCATGTTTTCTTGGATCTGCATTGCGAAAAAAGAAAAGATCCAGTCTTTTTCAGATCTTAGATCTCGGATTCCGGATTTGAAGTATGTTCCGTTGGCAAGAAAATTTCCCCGGGTTTTGACATGAATTTTGCAGAGATCCCTGGGATTATAAGGGTAGTGATAGAGATTACGGGGAAAACCGGGTTTGAAGAACTAACCTGCGACTCTTTCGTGGCACCCGTTATGACAGATGACACGTTCGGATTTGATGCACACCAAGCGATCGCGAGCTGAGCTAACGACACTCCCAGTTCATCCGCAATCAGTTTGAGATCGTTAACTTTCGTCAGAGCATCATCTACCAGTGATCTGTTAGCAAGATTCTGCAAAGAAAAAAGATTATATCGAGAAACTATCTACTAAAGAAAGGTTTGACACCGAAAATTTAGATGCAGAAAGGAAGCCTCACCTTGTAATTCTCCAATGCGAAACGGCTATCGGGAGGAATAACTCCATTGCTGTATTTTCCGGTGAGCACACCAGATGCAAGCGGGCTCCACGTAGTGAGACCTAGGCCATAGTTGGTGTACAGAGGGAGGAACTCTGTTTCAACCTGCATTGCATAAGATCAGACACAAGGCTCGGGGACAAAACTTAAAAGCTTAACTATTTATCAAACCGAGTAGTCTCTTCTGTAGGATTACCAACCCGACTAACATAAACGAATAATTGTAAGGGAAACAAAGTAGGGAAA